TAAAATATTCTGTAACTAGAAAGTATGATTATTTTTTTGTTTTTGTTGTTGTTAAAGCAGTTCTATTTTGATATTTTAAATCCCCTTAGCTCAGAAGATTGTGGAATATTTACTTAGTACCTGCCCCCATTGTGAATATTTCTTATGGTAGCCCCCTACCCCTTGCAAGAATAGTTATGGAACTTCAACATGACTTATGAAGCCTCACTTTCAAAGTTCATGACTATTCCTAGATTCATTCCTTCTTCACTGATTATATTCTTTGCTTTCCTGAATAGCTTTCCATTTATAGCAATCTTCATTTGTAGATATGGACTTCTGATGCATAATAGAGTCTTAATTTGATTATTAAGTTAACTGAGTGTTTTGTCTGTTTGTGCATTAAAGGAAACCCTGAATTCTGTGCACTTGACACTGCTACTGTCAAGCATGAAGCATATAAATGCAGGCTCTATTCCATGCTCACAGCAAGGACCACAAGAGCCCACCCTGCGGTTGACAGCTTTGACACAAACACTGTTGACTGGATGGGAAGAGTGTTCTACCCATTTCTTGGCAGCAAAATGAGTATTCTTGCAACGTTGCTTTCTCCTGTGAAGGACTGCAGTCATTAGCACATTCAAATCTTTTACCTTTTGGGATGTCATTACCTTCAAAACTACAGAAAAAATACACTTTCTCTGCTGTGATATACTAGAGTTATCTTTGAGGGAATTCCATTTGAGAAAAAGACACCGAGAGGGACTTCTTATTAAGATCTACATTTAGCAGCTAATTGCAGCTAGAATTGTAGTCATGCAACATACACACAAATTCTCATTTTAATGAGAGTGAAAGTGTAGGTAGAAACAGATGACCTAGATGATTTTATGAATAAAAGATTTCATCTGATGCAATCATTTCATTAATACACACATGGCACCAAATGAAAACAGAGCATAGCAGATGGCTATGAGAGGTCTTAAAAAGACATTTTCAGTTTAAGTAGCTAATGACTTAGATTTCATGGACAACACCAAATACTAGCAGAAATGAAACATTTATTGTACCAGTCTTCCAAAGAATGTTCTAAAGCTTTATGAAAGTAATGCTGAAAAATGCAGTCACATTATATGTTATACAGATATTGGGCAATGTAATTTTTTCACAAAAACTGCTGAAAGAAAACTCCATTATTTTCTTTATTAATAGCCTATATTTATTTAATTTTAATATATTTCATTCATTTGCTTCAAGTTGCTACACATGGTGGAAATAGTGGTTTCCAATGTAACAATGAAATACGGTCATTTGCCATGCAGTTTTAGAATATAAATATGACATATATTCACATACTATGATGATGGATACACTGCAAGCAGCTGCAAAAGATTGCATTGAGGGAGATTGCTGGCACAGTACTAATAATTGATTTGATTTATTTTAAGATAAAATATTCGGAGTAAATTTAGAACAAATTTATAACTTTAAAAGGAGGCAGCGAGTGTGGAATGCTCATGTAAGATCTGTATTGTGTTTTTACATTAGTAAACCTCAGCAGAGAAAGTAGTGAAGCAGGGCAATGATGCTGTTTAGCACTGGCCATGTGGCTACCTCAGCCTGAACCCCTCATGTCATCCACGTCCAGGTTGCAGGGGGTCTGACAGACAAGCCAAATGTGTCAGTTCTGCTCTCAGTCTGTTCTGCTCCATCCTTGAGGAATGTGCATTCTGCAAGACTTGATTGCTCTCCAGACCCTTTACAAAACCAGATCAGGGCAAAAGGGCTGGATTTCTTAGAGAGAATCTGGCCTACAGCTTCTTACAGACAGATTAACCTCAGTTTGGCTTCAAACTGAGGACACATACAGTCTCATTCTTCAGGCCTAATCCAAGATCAACTTAGTCTACATTACTTCATCAGAAATTAATATCACGGCCCTGGCATCTTTGAACACATGCAGATTGAATTTTCTTTTTGCAAAGCTTGTTTGAGATCCTGTTAGGAATGACAGAGTATATACTGAATTTGGATGGAACAGGAACACTTAGTCTCTTTGAATGCAAAGCACGAGGAACACAAATACACCCTACCACCCAAAAGCCTATGTGTGGAATAGCAAGCTGATTTTGTTTCCTTTCTATGCAACAGATAAAAATATTGAACAAGACAAGCTTGTCCCTGTTGCGAACTGTTATTGCTGCTTCATTAGGAAACAGTTCTTTGTAAAAGAAGCATGGGTTTCCAATCTGAATATCTACACTGTGCAACATACATCCACACCATCTCTGGCAGCCTGCTGCTCTGCAAATCCTGGTTTAACATTGGCTGAAGCATTCAGGGGAATGGTGTAAAAACTAAGATGAACCTTTAGAAGCTGAAAATCTTCTTATGTCTACAACTTACTGTCATCACTATACATAGTCTGAGCACTTTTTGATTTAGACAATTTGTCAGATAAGTCCAGAGGTTGCTGTAAATGGAAATGCAGTTAATTGCATTCTTCATATGCTTTTTACTGTTGTGTAAAACATTCAGAGAACATCACGTTGATTCTTATTACTTCTATTTTGACAGCAAGTCAGGCCTCAGATAAAGGACAGAAATTCATAGCCTCTGAAATCATACATGTAAATTTAAGATATAAAAACTTCCTTTGAATTTTTTAGCCATGTAAAATAAATGTTGCCCTTCTCACTGAATTTTTTTTTTTTTTTCAAAACTCACCATGGTCTGAAGTCCTGTAAATTTTCTCACGAGAAAGACCAAGTATTGTATGAGTGAATGTGGTTGCAGGGTGGCGTATGAGGTTACTGCTGAAAAAGGAGATGTCAGGTATTCCAGAATGAGATGTTACTTCTGTAAAAGACGGTCTGAAAGAATTTAATTTCAAACCATAATTAAATCAAAAGCAATTTAATAACAATGTTTATATGTTTGCAGAATTCATTTATGATATTTCACCTCCTGTCTTCATGACTTGGCTGTCAGTAACACAGCAAACACTGACTAACTGTTAATTAATAGAACAGTGTTTGATATGATCAGAATGTAATTCTTTTTCATTTAAGGGTCCTAAAAACTCAGATAAATGGGTGTTCTATCCCAGTACTAGGGAACAGCTTTCCTTTGTAGAAATTCTGTTATTTGTCTATGGAGACAAAATCTTGTCCCCTCTCTTCAGTGACTTCAAACATAGGTTTTCCCTCTGTTTGGTGTGTTAAATAGGATTATCATCATTAGCTTCTTAGCATATTCCCTGCCCTCTCTCATTCTACACATGCCTTACTGCTTCCCTTACTGCTTTGATTTCTCTCTTTTTCAGATCCATCTGCAAACAGTTTTGGTCTATATGAGACACTCAGTTGTCAGGGTAGTTGGATAGATACCACAGGCCTCTTAAAACAAACCAAACCAAACCAAACTCCAACTTATTCTTTTTAGCTTTGCTGTTGTTGCAGCAGCAATTTTTGGAAACAATATACAAAAAGCCAACAACTCTTGAGTGGGAGAGAATAAAAATCTTTCAATTTCTGTGCAGAATTTCTGTGTATTCACTGATCCTCTTCTGTTTGATACTTTCCTAATTCAATCAGTCAACTGACCCAGTATCTCGTGAAGCAGAGACCATCTGCATACTCCAAATGAAAAGACAACAAACCTTGGGGAGTCTAAAGCATACAGATGCCTTCTTGCACAGATGAAACATGGTCCCATTTATTCAGAAAACAATTAACATCTTTAATATGACATGGAATTGGTTCATGAGCTAAAAAAACCCCAAAAAACCAACAAACAAAAAGAACACTACACTATTTATTATGGCCTGTGCAGTTCTGCTTTAGAAAGAATTTGATTTTACTGAGTTCAATGGTAGGAATATTATGATAAGACTGATAAAATTTTTTCTTATGTTTGTTCTTTAATGAGATTAGTTGAGCTGGTGTGAAGGTTTACTTGATTATTTTGTAAATATACAGAATATGAGAATATATTTTACACTGCTTCACTGGAGAAGTCAATTCCAATTGGTACCAATGTTTTGTGTGGAAATGTTTGGTGATGTCTCAGATACAGTCTGTAAGGGCATCAGTAAAATGAATGAGAGCAAAATGTGCAGACTGATTATAATGCAGGGATTTATTCAATATACTTTTTTCTTGTACTGTTTAGAGATGCTTTTTATGAAGATTTGGTGTCTTTTCTAGCATAAATACAATCTCAGTCTCAGACTTCTCTGAAATGTGTATAAATGAGCTTCATTTCCCTGCAGTGATTGTTATAACTGTTATCAGGGGAGAATAAAGATGCAATTTGAAGTCAAATATCTTCCAGGGCTTAGCAATTCTAACACGTAAGGTCACTGCTGTATTCCACTTCTGTTTTGATCTCTAGGAGCGAGGCAATGGGTCAGGGGCGCGTGGCTGGAGGGGCCGTGTGTGGTCCTGCGGTCCTAGAGCAGCGTTTGGGACAGCAGCTGTCGGGGCTGGCTCCCGGGCGGAGCGCGGGGTGTGCCGGCGGGCGGGGGCGGCGGGGCAGCGGGAGCCCGGCCGGGGCGCTCCGGCAAGGAGGCTGCACAACGAGCCTCGTGCCTGCCGGGGCAGCCCTTCCTCCGCCCTCCCTCCTCCTCCTCCGTTTATTTATTTCATTTATTTTTATTGCATTTATTTGTTTGTATTCACCGGAATAATAAAAAATGAGAAAATCCGAGCGCTGCTTTTGGCTGCTCTCCACCAACCTGTCAGTGACGCAAGCGGAGACTACTTAAAGGCAGATTAGAGGCAGCAAGACATTAAAGCCAACCTTCCTCCCTCCACGCCGCCGGTCCGCCCGCCGCGCCGCGCCACGAGCCGAGCGGGCCGGCCCGGTGGCGGCTCCCGAGCGGCCCCGAGCCCCGCAGAGCCGAGCCGAGCCGGGAACCCTCGGCAAGGCTGCCGCCTCCCGCCCTCCCGCCGCCGGACTGCGGGCAGTAGAGACGGGCTGCTCTTCGGTTTGTTTTCCCTCCCCCGAAAAAAAAAAAAAAAAAAAATAGGAGGGGTGAAAAAAGGCAGAAGTGAAGAGATCCCCTACGCTTGCCAAAGTCTTTGTCTCCGGATGAACAGCGATGGGGGAATGGACTATTCTAGAGAGGCTACTGGAAGCTGCCGTGCAGCAGCATTCTACTATGATAGGGAGGTAAGGGTCGCGGGAGAGCTGCGGGGAGCACGGGGGGACCCCCGCCTGTCCGAGCCGGCCGGCCGGGCGGTCGGCGGCGCACGGCGGGTCCCGGCTGCGCGGTGCCCTTCGGCCGGGCTCTTTCGGGGTGTGCCTGGAGCTAGCGTGTTTGCGTGTGTGCGTGTGTGTGTGTGTGTGTGTGTGTGTGTGTGTGTGTGTGTGTGTGCTGGGGAGGCTGGTATGCGGCACCGGAGCGCGGAGGCGCGGGGACACCGCAAGCGCCGCCGTCCTTGTCCCCGAGGAGCCACGGGGCTCCGGACGGTCGTCGGGAAGACCCCCCTGCCATCGGGGTCCCGCTGCCGGCGCAGCCCCGCTCCTCCACCGACCGTGCTCTCGGGGGCCCCAGGGCCGTGCGATCGCCCTTCGGCCGAAGGGGCCGGGCGGGGGCCAGCGCTGACCGCCGGCCGCGGTCTGTGGCACACGGCCGCGCCGAGGCCATGCCGCACAGCCTGCGCGCCCCCCGCGCGGAAGCGGGGCCGGTCGGAGGGGCCGGGCCCGGTTCGCTGTGCCGAGGCCGGTGCCCGTGTCGGGGCCGGGGCCGGTCCCGGTCGGCGGTACCGCGGCGCCGGGGCCCGGTCAGCACTGGACAGCTCCCGGCCGCGCGGCGGCGGCGCGCACTGACGGGCTTCTCTGTTGCAGGATCCTGCTGACCGTGGTGGTGATCTTCAGAATTCTCATTGTGGCCATTGTAGGGGAGACGGTGTACGATGACGAGCAAACGATGTTTGTCTGTAACACGCTGCAGCCAGGCTGCAACCAGGCTTGTTATGACCAGGCTTTCCCCATTTCTCACATAAGGTACTGGGTGTTCCAGATCATCATGGTGTGCACTCCCAGCCTGTGCTTCATAACATACTCCGTTCACCAGTCTGCTAAACAAAGGGAACGGAGGTACTCCACTGTCTTCCTTACCTTGGAAAGGGACCAGGATTCAATGAAGCGTGAGGACAGTAAGAAAATCAAGAACACTATTGTCAATGGGGTGCTGCAAAACACTGAGAACTCCACCAAAGAGGCAGAACCAGACTGCTTAGAAGTGAAGGAAATCCCCAATCCTGCTATCAGAACTACAAAATCAAAGATGAGGAGGCAAGAAGGCATTTCTCGATTTTATATCATCCAAGTGGTCTTTCGAAATGCCCTAGAGATTGGATTCTTAGTGGGACAGTATTTTCTGTACGGATTCAATGTCCCTTCCATGTACGAATGTGACAGATACCCTTGCATTAAAGAAGTAGAGTGCTATGTTTCTAGACCCACTGAGAAGACTGTATTCTTGGTATTCATGTTTGCTGTCAGTGGGATTTGTGTGGTGCTTAATTTGGCAGAACTGAACCACTTGGGCTGGAGAAAGATCAAAATGGCAGTGAGAGGAGTACAGGCAAAAAGGAAATCCATATATGAAATCAGAAATAAGGACCTGCCAAGAATGAGCATGCCTAACTTCGGCAGGACTCAGTCAAGTGACTCAGCTTATGTGTGAGGCTGTGACAGAACTGAAACACTGTGCCAGGTGGAACAGACCCAGATACCATTAGAGAAAGGTACATTGCTTAGGCAAGCATTTTATCAAACCACCAAGAAAGCCATTAAGGTATTGGATCTCCACTTACTGAACTAGCTGCAAAATGCAGCTCTATATAAAAGACTGAAAAAACAGCTATAAAACCATGCTTGACCTAGCCTTACAGCACAGCTACTATTATTCCTACTTTTCTTTCTAATGATTGGGTTTTATCTGTCAGTGAAACAGCTTTTTGGTTGTCATTAGGATGTTTACAGTTTGAACTGTCTGACTAATTGTTGTAAATGTGTAGAATGTTCATATCAAAAACTCTGCAAGGATACTCTATATGGGGTGGGGTGGGGTGGGGGACGCTGTTGCAATGTGCAGGCATAAGCATGTTTTAAAAGGAGGGTAAGCACACTGTAAGGAACCTAACCACAGCTCAGTCAGGATATCTGCGTTCACGTATCTCACAGATGTCTTATTTTGTTTGTCTAAATCACAGACTCTATTCCTGGTGTGTATTATTATCTATTTTCTATCATGGTTTGTGCATCAATTAGTCCTGCTAAAAATAAATGCTGAATATAATTTTGCCATTTTTTTCTTTGCCTGTCCACACACACACACACACACACACACACACACACACACACATCCACCAGAGACCTTAAACGTCTTGCATTAGTTGTGATCTGCAGAATATATCAGTACATTTTGATTGATTCCCTAATATGTGCATGAACAAGACAGAGTTGGTTCTTGCCAGCCGAGTTACGCATTTACCTACAGCCACCTATGATGACACACATACCAAAGGAAGAGAGTTCATTGCATTTAACTGTGAATATATCTTCTTTTCTCTGCTCTTATTTATATAAGTGCCATACTTGAAACATCTAACTCTGTACTTAGTCAAAAGGTTGTCTTGGGATACCAGCTGGAGTGAAATGATTTTATACTCTCTTTTGTTTATTTTATGTGATTTGGTTAGTCATTGCAATGGTGTAAAAAGCAGCTAAAGTATCTATTGATAAATAAATTCTTGCCTTTTTTTTTTTTTTTTTTGTAAGCCAGAGAAATTCGTTCTTTATTCTTGTATACAACTGTAAAAAAACTTACAGGGTTAAAATAATTGACTTACAACAATTATTCTTCAGGGTTTAAAATGTCTTGTTGGTATTCTAAACTCTAAGCAACAAAACCTGGGAAATCAGGACTGTTTTTTATGTCTGTTTTCCTCCTTAAGCAAGCTTCCTCTGTCTTTAAAGCCTGATCCAAAGCCCACTGACACCAACAGCCTTCTTTCTGCTGACACTAAGGGCAACACAGTTGGCTGCCAAGGTCACTCTAGGAATAGCCAGAATACATTTACCCATAAATGAAACAATTGCAGCTTTTCATCAGGGAATCCAAATAGTAACCTCAGCTTTTCTGCCTTACAGCTGGTTTAAGAAATATGTTGTTCATGTCCCATCAACTTACTGGCAAGCCACTGGGGCAGTCTCAGATGAATCTCTGTTAACAGCAATTATCTTAATACAGAATAGGTTACTAAGGTTTACTTAATGATTTTTTAAAACATTTTTTAAATTCCTTCTGAATACAACAGAAAATATTTATCTGGCAGCAGTAGGAGTTGGATCAGGACTAAAAAACATATAAGTGCATTTCTAACTAAATAGTATCTGCCCTTTAAAGAAAAGGGCCAAAATGGTGCTGGAAAATCTGGGGTACTTTATAACATAAGAAGGAGACATGGGCTCAGCATCACAAATGGCCTTTTGATTGTATTTTATGTCAAGCCTGAAAATGGATTTTATTATGTATTGGCTTGGAGATGATGCACATAAATCTTTTCCTCTTGGCTTACAACAAATACCTTAACATTCCATTCTTGTCGTTTGCCAGCATTGTCACTTTAAAAAACGTTGATTAATTCTTAGATAGTCTATCCATTATCACTTTCATCTGTTGTCTTTTTTCTTCCACTGTGAAGCATTAAAGATGTGTCATGTTTTTAAAGATTTAAAAAATATTTTTCCTTATGTATAAATTTAAGAGTTTTCCTGATTTGATGATAGAAACCTCTAAAGATGGATTTCTCAAATTCTTTGTGATAAAAACGCACACTGATATTGCTAGTTGACTGCATGCTCACTGGAAAACTGCATGTTATTTTTAGAAGGACAACATGGCAGCTAAAATCTCCATCTGCAAAATAACAAGCTTCTGAAGATTATTATTTGACACACAAATCCAAGTCTGATTTTCATTTTGCAGAGTCCTGGGATGGTTTTCAAAATCTCATTTTGAACAGATATTGAAAGGAAAAATATTCTTTGACAGTCATTAGCACTCCTTTAAAGTTGAAGAAATGAGAGATTGTGTGCAAAGCACTTGATCCAGTACAAATTAAAGTTGAAAAAGCAACTTCATTGGGCTTTGCTTCAGGTTCAGCATATTTTCCTGTTAGGCAGAAGCCCTAATGCAAGTTTTTTCCAGTGGCTGCATAGCAGTTTTTAGTCAAATTCTAGTGAAGGTGCATGTCTTGAAAGAGATAAGATTTTAATACCTTAAAATTTTAAGGTAATATTTAGAAAGTATCTGTTTATGTTAGTCAATGCAAATGACTCAGTTAATTATTTTTTTTTAAATGTAGTTGCACATTTGTACTCCAGTAAGTTGGGATTCTTCAGATTTGTCCAAAGACAAGAATATCAGGAAATGTAAATGCTGATTTATGTAACAGGATCAGAGATAAAGTAGGCAAAGACTTATATTTTGATCAACAGAAACATCATCCTTGGATGATATACTTGGAATATAGCTTTTAATATTTCAGATGAGAGATGAAATGTGTCAAGAGATCTGTTGTTCTAACCGTCCTTTTAAATTGTTATTTTTCATTTCTTACCAACTACTCATTTGTCATGGACAAGAGAAATATAGCAAACACGTTTTTTGTCAATGTATGTGAGAATCATATGATTAATGCTAATGGACTGTTTGCATGAAAGCTGACTATTCATTTACAGAATAAATGCTTTAAAATTGTCACAGCAATGGAAAAGTGTGTTAACTGAACAGAACTGAGTGAACATGAAGCTGAAGAGCACATTACTGGCTACTTAGGTCTTGCTCCTGCCTCAGTGAAATAAATTAGTCTCACCATTTACATCTCTGTAAGGATCAGATATTAAAAATGAAAATTGAGTTAATGTTTGTTTTCTTCATTGTTTACATTGTTTTGCACTGGTGGAAAACATTATGTGTCATGTTAAGTGTAGACATTAATGCTATATTCACTAAGCTCCTATGGAAAATTGCAACAGAATCTAATAAACCATCAGTTTCATGGAATTTTAAAATGCACATAAAATAATGACTTTTTTCATTTCTATATAGACTTGATCTTGTGCTTTCCACACCTGTGTGAATTTCAAAAACTATTTACATAGGGGTTATGAACCATTTCACCAGATATGTATAAGATACAATGAGAGTCCATTAAATATTTTTTAAAATAAGAATTTTATTTTTTCGTAATGAAAACTAGCTGCATTTTTACATGTAACATTTTTGCATATGGAAGGTGAATTCACTGCTCCCATAAAGAGTTTAGTTTTAGAGAGACCTCTGACTGAAGGGTTTTCAGCTTTTTCAGGGGAAAACTGAAGAACGGAGACATCAACTGGGATTAATGAATCACAGAAGTGGTCAGATGGATTTTACTTTGTTTTACACTAAAGAAGTAAGAAACACTCAGAATCTTCAGAGTGGGTGCAATGCTTTTCTTGCATAATACCTACCAGTGTAGGACAAAGCTGCTGCTATGTAGAGAACTGTAGGAAAGGATGTACATGGAACGTTAAGTGTGAGGAAGTATTTTCCTGAAGTTTTAAAAGATTTCATTTATTTCAGGGCAAGAGGCTGGATAAGGTGGACATCATGCCTGCATTCTTTTGGCTTTATTTTGCTTGAATATAACTGTTTCACCTTGCTCCTTCAGGAAAACAGGTTAGGAGTCTTTGTTTGGTGCACAAGTATAGAAATGGGAATTAAAAAATTAGGTCATATGAGGAGAACACAGGCATATGTTTTCAGTACTTAGAGTCTGGTCTGGTACTTCATGAATTTAATGACAAGACTTAATTTTCTGTGGGATCAAGTCAATTCTCAGCTGGGTGAAATGCTTTTATTTCATGCGATTAACAAGAGAGATTACAGCATTTCTGTATTGCACACCCATCCCTGGATATTTTGGAATGTTCTTTCCAGAAATTCTGTTTTATTGTAAGATTTCAGAAGACACACTAAGTTAGTATCAGCTACTAATACTAGATCCTAAACATCACATCGTCTCAATGAAATTCTGATAGTATCTCTATGAAGAAAAATTGGGCTAGGAAGTGCTTCATATTTTGTCTATTAAAATGTGCTAAAGAAGTCGATCAAGAGTCAGCAGTCCATTAGATAGGTGCAGATATGGAGTGTTCCCTGGCACTGCATTAAAAATAAACCATGCGTATAGATTTACATATGAAAATAAATGTTTGCAAGATTATTTAAAGATTTTACCTAAACTGAATTAGTGTGCTACAGATTGAATTTCAGAGGTGGATACAGAAGTCCCATATCCAGAAATGGTTAGAAACTGAAGTGGATGCAATGACCTGAATGGTTATTGTTCATTCAAAAACCCCCAACAATTACCCTTTTCCTGTGACTTCTGGGGCTATGGGCTATACCAGTTTTTTAGAGAGTTTAGCTAAGCAGGTGCCTCTCTAAGTGACAGCTTTTAAGAGACTTGTCTTCACAACTTTAAAATCTATCAGCTTTTTCTTGGTGGTGCCTGAAATACAGGATGAATTTGATCTCTAGGTTATGGAGACTCACATATAAAATGGCTTCCTGATATCCCCTCAAAGCGAGAATTACTTCTGAATTCAAAGAATGTGAAAGTAAGGTAATGAATTAAAATGTGAAAGTAAGGTATTAATCCATCTATCTTTTGCATATGTAGTGTTGCAAAAAAGGACATAGAAGGGTTACCAGTACCTGGATAACAACTAATACACCCTAAATTGATTACACAAATCTTGACTTTTGTTTCTTTCACTGAAGACAGCATTTTCTGCATATGATTTATCTATAAATATATTTCATGGCACATAATTAAGTGTAACTTTCATTTTTTAAATATTTTGAGAAGTTTCCAATGAAATCGTGATTGATGTTTTCATTTTTTTCAGAGAAAGGTTAAAAGATTACTGTTTGAAATCAGTTCTCTATGTTTTGAAACGCGTTATAATAATTAATCCTATATTTT